TTTCTTAAGTTCCGGTATTTAATATAAAATATTGAATGAAAACATATTTTACAAACAGCCTCCACGACTGGGCACGGGAGGAGGGAACGTTTTGCCAATCATGTCCACCCTTTCTCTGGGCACTGGACGAAGGTTCCTAGTATCCCGACAAGCATGCGGGCAAGAAGGCATTGCTGTCGCATCCCTGCCCCTCCAGCTCTCGGGGCCAGCATGCCCCAAGATGAGGGAGATACGAACAGTGCAGCGCATGCGTGAAGAACGTGTGTTTTGAGTCAGCGTTGGGTTAGACTCTCAACTCCACCATACGTGAGCTGTGTGACCCTGCGTGAGGCACTTCTTAGAGCCTCGGTTTCATCATCTGTAAAATGGGAATGTTCTCAATAGGAGAGTTCATGTAAAATGTCACTGGCCTGTCCATATAGGTCCAATAAGTGATGCCCATTATCACCATTTTCATGTTAGCACTTGAGCATCACTGATCCGGGAAAGCCCTGGCTGTGTGTTCAGAGAGCTGGTGGGGTGGGAGACGGGGGTGGGGGGTTCACACACAGGTCAGGCCCTGTCAGACAGAAGCCCCTCTTCCTGTCGGACCTCCCCGACGTCCGCACTCCATTCCTCATCTGTCTCATGTTTCTTCCCCGAGTTGTCTCCCTCTTTCCACCCCCCCCGTCCCCTTTCTCCTGGAGTCCAACCGCTTCCCCTGTGGCCCCCAGCATCCCTGCCGTGACAGACCGTCCCTCTTGCTCAGCGTCAACCTCACCAGTGCTCCCAGGACACTGTGAGGAGGAGAAGCCACTTGCTCCGACCAGCCCACCCTCTACACTCATCTCAGCCCCCATCCTCTGCGACCATCCTTCAGTCCTCCCCTGCTCCATAAAAATATCTCCTTTATCCCTTAAACTCCCGTTGGCTAATTTGGTCTGCCTTAGCTCCTTGCATTGGAGATCTGTCTTTGTAAGACTGCCACTCAGAGCTGGCTGATTTTTCAGATGGTGCTTCAAGACACAAACTTTCCAGAGTCTTGGTCCTCAGAAGTGGTCCTCATCCCCTCGCCAGACTCCGAATCCTGGCGCTATTTGTGGGGTCGTGACTGTGTATGGCTGTCCAGAGGCTGGTCTGGTGGGTTTCCAGACCCTTCCTATACTGTCTGGCTGTCTTTCCTTCTCAAGGCCAGCTGGAAAACTAACAGAATCTTGATTTTACTTGAAAAGTGTAGAGCTCTCCACTGAAGCAGCTACATGCTCCTCAGTGCAAGAAATCAGATCGGGTGTGGTCGACATCATCATGATGATTTAAATGGATTTATTAAGTTTTGCACAGATTTTAATCACTTGATAAATAAAATAGAAGCAAAGACCTGACTGAAAAGGGCCAAGACCTTCCTGTGTCCTCAGGGATTGGATCACCTTACTGTGGTTCTTCCACATTTACCTGGGGGAAATCCCCACAGGCCACTCTGCCTGCCACAGGTGTGAAGAAAGATGCCCCCAGCTGAGAACCGCTGGTTTGCACATACACACACCCCTCCCTGGCAGACCTGTTAGCCCAAGATCAGAGTTGTGAACACCCACCCAGCAGGGAGAACACGCCTCTAGGAGTCCTTGCCTTTGCCCTTCAGGACCCAAGAGAGCTAAGCAAGGGTTCTCAGCAGCAGCAAGGCACGGGACATTCCTGCCTGCTGGTGAGGCTGCTGATGAGGCTGCTGGCTCACAGCACTGAACCCGCCCAAAGCTGCAAGATTGCAGTCTGTGTCAGGAGGCCCGAAAGAGGCACAAAGACCGGATATGCGGGTGTGGCCATGCACCACACCTTATGTTACCTGGAGAGGTCTCCTGCCATTGTGGAAAATCACTGAGAGGAGGGACAGACTGTTTGAAAATAAACCTCCGCATGGATGGATGCACCTGGGGTATCACATACAATTCTGCCTTCAGCACGGACGTCCTGACCCGCAGCCCCCTGGGCCGTCACAGCAGAGCCCCAGGCCACTCTAGAAGGGTTCTGTGTAGTCTTGGGATTGTCCAGTGCAAATCCCATCAGTCACCTTTCAGCAAGGATTTACGAGCCATCCTTTGGATCCTCATGTAAACTGCGGTCCACAGTCCAGCAGGGTGGGGACCGCCTGGGAGCTGGTTAGAAATGCACATCCTCAGGCTCCGCCCCAGAACTTCCGAATCTGAGTCTGCACTTGAACAGATTCCTTAGGGAATATCCACAGCTATTAAGGTTGAGAAGCCCTGATGTAAGCAACACAGGAAAGGGAGATCGGCTTCTTCCCTCTAGAAGCTCCCTCGCGGTGGGGAAGATGTGACTCACAGATATGGAACAATGGAGCAGAGCGCAAGTCAGACCGTCAGGCACGTTTGGGAGGGAAATGAGCACAGAGCACCAAGACCGAGTTCTGCCCCAGCCGCCGACTTTCACAGACCCTCAGCTGCCTCAGCTGTAAAGTGGGAATAACACACGTCCTGTCCGCCTTACAGATTGTCCTGGATGGGAAAACAACTCACTCGCATGGGACACCATTTACCGTCACACGGTCTGAGTGCTACCGCACCCAGGGGTGAGAGTGCTGGGGGTGACTAGAACGGCCTGGGAAGATCCTTGGGGGACAGTGAGGGGAGACTGAAGGTGGCCTTTTAAAAACATTGAACGCCTCAGCTGGTGTAGCTCAGTGGATTGAGCACAGGCCTGCGAACCAGAGGATCTCGGTTCAATTCCCAGTCAGGGCACATGCCTGGGTTGAAGGCCAGTTCCCTGCAGGCCATTTCCCAGCAGGGGACACCCAAAAGGCAACCGTACATTGATGTTTCTCTCCCTCTCTCCTTCCCCTTTAAAGATAAATAAATAAATAAAAGCTTTAAAAAAAAACCCATTGAACAATGTACTGAACTAGCACTATAGTAAAGCAAGATGGAAAGTGCACATTTTGAGAACTGCACCTGCACAATGTACTAAACCTGCACCTCTAGGCCAGGCTGTACCTGGAGCCCAGGCTGTGCACGGAAGCTCCAGCTTCCATCCTGACAGTCTGCCAGTGGTCACCACTGTGGGTCTCGGAAACACACGCTCAGTGGCACCAAGGGTTTTACAAAAGGCACAAAGCAAGTCTCTGTGGGGAGGCTGGCAAGAGCCCTCTGTCTATAAACCTGAACTCTGGTTTGGGGCACACGGAATGGATTTGCTTGTTATCTTGCAGAGCTGACCTGTGACGATGCCTGACCCTGCAAGGCCATGCCTGGGAGAGCGGGAGATAAAGGAAATCAGCAGGTGGGGCGTCATCTCCCTAGATAATATTTCTTAAGCCTTTGCTGTGTACTAGATGGTTTCATGCTTTTTTTCCTTTTTCATTTAATCCTCACTCCAACCCTGTCAGGCAGGGCCCTCTTTCGTCTCTGTATCACAGATGAGGAAACAGGGAACTCAGGGTTAGAACCCAGGTTGGTCTGCTTTCCAAAGCCCATGACCTTAAGTGTGAGCAAAACTGCCGGGGTAACGTGAGAATTTCTGGTTTTCCTCGTGCCATTGAAACAATATGACTTTGCTTTTGTTGTGAAACCTGGCTCCCTGGGACTCGCTGACGTTTGCCATGCTTGTCCTGAGCTTCTCCAGAGAAAGGCTGTCTTCTGGCAGGAAAAGATAAAAAGGGCTAATACAAATGAGTCACCACCCTCGCTATAATTAACAGTGATGCAAGAGCCAGATGCAACATAAGAGGGGCCCCCAGGACCTGAGTGCAGGCGGCCAGACCTTTAAGCTGCACTTCAAGGCAGAAAAGAGTGTCCGTGGCTGAGCTACCTGCTGCTCACAACACATTGTAAAGGAAGAGATGAAACCTACAATACGTGCAGGCTCCAAGATTAATCTCCTTATTGACAACAGAAAAACCGCACACCAGAACAGGAAACAGAATTTATGGTTGATAGATAATGTAGATCTTTGCTTTCACACTTGGCCGCCCTTCAAAGTCTAAGCAGTTTTCAACCTGCTGAGCTGATTTACAGCAACTACCGCTGTAAACTCACTGGCAATGGGTGTTCAGCGTGTAGCGTGTAGATGAACTTTACAAAAAGGACCCATGAGCATTGGCGTCTCTCTACACCCCTTTGCTGACTTGGAATAAGAAGCGATGCCATGATAGGCTGATTCAAACAGACCCTAAAACACAATTCCCATGTTGTCCACAAGCCCATTCAACTGCAGCACCGGCGTGATCACTTCGTGATGCAAGCGGAAGACAGGGCTCTCTGGCTGCTTCTAGGATGGATAATTCCCTCCTCAATTTTGACAGAGAGAAATAAATAATGCTCAGGACCTGGCCAGACTCCGCCAGTGGCCACTGATGCCGGCAGAATCTTCCTACCTCTTCAAGAGAGGCTCAACTGTCCTCACGATTCAAACTCGATACAGCTGACAGAATCTTGCCACTTTCCTTTCAAAGACTTTAATGGAGAGCGGAGTGAAAAAATGCAGGTTACATGTTTAGTGTTATCATTGATACGTTGTAAGATCAACACCAAGACAGTGATGCAGCTAACATTTATACATTTCCTAACTTTAGCTGTCAAAGAGCAAATCATTATCCAATATATATATTTACACAATAATTTCAAGCAACAGTAAATAATAAACTCCCTCCCTTAAAAAACCGAAAAAAAAAGTCACACACACACACCCAATTACCTTTAAACAATGGATTACCTCCCACTAGTAAGTATCCTTTTTTTGCACATATACTTGTAGACTAAAAGTCACTTAAGTTACTTAAGAACAGTCTTCTCGGCGGAGGTCCTGGATCAGCCCCTATTTCTTTTAGAGCCGCTTTAATTTTTACAACTTGAAGCCACATAACCAGCGTGGCCTGTACACTCTAAGCACTCTAAGGACACTCCAAATGACGGAAATGAATTCTATTTCCTTTGTGTGAGGAGATATGTACATCTCTGAAGATGTAGATGACTACAACTCAGAAAGTCAGAAATAAACACAAAACCAAAATCTCAGATCTTCAAGCACAGTTTCTTAAGAGCATTGTGCTAATATTAGCATTGAATTAAACGACTGGTAAGATTCTCTGAGATTTCTCTGCAGAGGTACTGGTTAGTTCTGATTCTTTGCCCAGCTGCTTGAAACACACGAGTTTTAAAAGTTGCCTGGTGGCGCCCAGCCTGCCTGGCCTCTGGACTGCCAGACGGGACTCACCCCAGGGCCTGGCTCTCTGATTTATTTCTTGCCGTTGCTGTTAGTAAATGGAAACCATGACAAAGTTTACATTAGCAGACACATCCCCATGCCCTGGCCTATAAATATTCTATGATGGAAAATGGTACAATGACTCCATTCCCAGTGAAAATGAGCGTAAAAGGAGAGGGTGGGGGAACATTATCAACAATGCCTCTTCTTACACTGGAAAATCCAGACCAAACGGCGACGGGCTTTTAAGGAACCAGACACTGTCCACCGCTTCTCCAGGGCCTTGGGAGTACACGACAAGTTGGCAGAGCAGAGGCTGCCTTCTCCGGGCAGAGCCGGTAGGATCCAGTGGTACACGCATCTTGTCTGGGAAGCTGCATGAAGATGAACTGCCACTCCCTTCGTAGAGAGGTGAGTGCAGAGGGATTTTAAAGTCAGGTTGGAAAGCAGTCCCCATGCTGTGTCCGGCCTGGGACACAGAGCCGTCCCTGGGTGGGACCTCTCAGAGTGCCAGCTGGAGTTTGGTCATGTTTCTCTGGTGCATGTTGTGATGGCGGACCAGCTCGTCCGACCGTGCAAACTTTTTCTGGCAACTGGGCCACCGGCAGCTGAAGGGCTTTTCACCTGTGGGCACAATTGCCAGTCAGATACTCGCCGTGGAAAAGATGGGGCCAGTTCAACCCTCCAAAGCCCCACGTTAAGTCATCACAAGGCTCCCGCTCCAGACTCCCCCTAGTTCTGTCCCTCAGCTAACACACCAGGCTCGTTTCAGGGGCGGCTCTGAAACAGCCGCACCACGGAGGCCTCATGGATGAAAGTACTATTAAAAAATTATCAGCATTATTAAGTCAAAAGACTTGGGAAACAGGAGACCATGAATGGAATTGTGTAGGTAAGTCCTCTTTGACTGTGGGGGACTTTGGTTCAGCCTCTCCTGTTAGTCTGTTTTGTGAACTGTGTATGCTTTTCCCTCTGCTGTCCAAGTAGGGACTTGAGGTTAAGGGGGCTCCCAGGGTCTCAGCACAGTCACCCTGGATATTGCTGACTAACCGTCATCCAGTGGGGGAGCTGTGACGGCAGCTTCTCTGGCTACACAGGGTCACCGTCACTGCCTACACTTCTCTCTCACTGTCTCTGTCTACACAGAGTCCTGGACAGGCTGAGAAGTTTTAAACAAATCACTGATACCAGTGCGCATGGTGTTTGTGTCTTTTTCCTTCAAGTGTCAATCAGAGCGTAATTCCTGCCACACAAAAATTCTAGTTCAGGCATAGTCTTGAGATCTTTAACAAGCTTGCCGAAAAGATCGAGCTTTCCATCTGAGGTGCTTTCAGAAGTTCCCTTCGCGCCACCTTCTGTGTGGGGAAGAGAAGCATTTATCAAGTGCCTTGTGCTGGGCATTGTGTGCACACGCCTGGCCTCGTGAACCGCACAGGACACCTCGGTGAGGGGAGCTTGTTTCCCCTACTCCACGAATGAGGTGGACACCCTGGGAGGGCAGACCCAGGCAAGACTCAGGTCCAGGTCAGTGTAATTTCAAAGCCCAGAAACTTGGCGTCTCCCACCTTTTGGGCCTAGCCGTAACGGGAATAGAGCTGCGACTTCATGCTAAGTACGAATGCCACAGAAGCCGCCTGGGGGATCTCAGGATATCACTGGTCCCACTGTGTCTTTTCTGAGGACTCCTGGGCAGGACGAGCACAGAGAAATGTCCCAGGGGAGGTGCCAGCCCAGGGTCAGAACTGGGGGGCGCGGGCCAACCAAGCGTGGCATTAAACGGTCTGCGTGGAACACGGGTCCCTTCACACACATGCAGGCATGCACAGGGAAGGGGGTTGGAGTACAAGGAATGGAAACTCTTTCCCTCCAAATTATGAGCTCAAGACTAAGGCAAAGCAACAACACCGACGCACCTGGGGCGGGCCAAGTAGATGCCCATCCCGCCAACTCCGGGGCACAGGTGCCTGGACTCTGTCTACAGGTGCGGCTGGTTTGGGCTGAGCAGCTGGGTGCTCACAACACTGTGCCTTTCACCTCCCACCCCTGTTCCTCTGCTCTGCCTGATCGGGCCCCCGCTGCCCCGTCCCCGCCTCCAGCCATGCTGCCAAAGTTAGTATCCATGTCCAGCCCTGCCCCTCACTGTCTTCGTTTGCCTCAGCCTACCAACGGTACTCAACTCTGCTGACTTGGGCTGTCTTCTTGATTCTCTTTCCTCCCTGCACTAGGCAGCGAACCCCAAACCCCAACACCTTTCTCCAACAAAGAAGGCAGTGGGGATGCGGCGGGCTGGGAGCAGATAAAACTGGGTTTGCTACTTACTAGCTTTGGAACTTTTACATGAGCCACTAACTTGCTATGTGCCTCAGTCCCCTCATCTGAAAAATGGGGATAAATCACACCAGCCCTCCTTTTCTTACAAGACTGGTGTAGAGATAACAATAACCTGGGCATGGTTTCTCCTTCCCACGCTATAAAATACACAACAAAGATGGTGCTGTTTTCATTATGGATCACACCAGCCTTGTGGAGAAGCAAAAACTTTCAATGCACTATTCCCCTCTCGATATTAATGTAGAGGAAATAATAGCCACGTGCCAACGTCAGTCTGGTGGACAGCAGGACAGACAGCTCCTGGAGCATTAAGTTTCAGCAGAGAGAGGATTCGGGCCTCTGAACACAGGGTGGTGGAACATGAACTTTCAGAAGGATAAATGTTTAGCTTGCTAGATTTTTGGCTTGTTAGAATTTTTGTTCTTCTGTAAGGTTGATTATCCTATCAAACTGGGTGATAAAAGTGTGATGCAACAAACTGGGAACAGGAGGGACCTAACTTATCTCTTCGCTTTTATTCTGGACGCTCATGAAAAGGGTTCTTTCACGCCTCCCTTCTGCTCTGTACCCACGCCCCCGCCCCTTGTTAAACAATGTTCTTATTTAAAGATAAGCACCTACAGTTCTTTCTCTCATCTCAGTCTAAACCTGCTTAGGCTCTTTTTACACTCCTCTTGTCCAGTCTCTCTCATCAGAAACAACTTCATTCAACGGTAGTTATTTTTTAAAAAAAATAATGAAAAATAAATGTGAAGAAAAGTTTACGCACTTGTTTTACCTGTATGAGTCCTGGTGTGGGTCTTCAGGTGGTCAGAGCGGGAGAACTTCCGCTGACAAGTTTTACACTGGAAGGGTTTCACACCTAAACGGACAGAGAAGGTCTAGCCGCAGCCCTGACGACGCGGGGGGCACAGCGAGGCCCACAAGGCCTGCTGCCCGGCAGCCGGAGGAGCCAGGCACTTCCAGCCGCACCTGCAACATCTGCCTCGCCCCCAGATCTCCCCCGGGCCCAGCACGAACCACCCGGTCCTGCGCACAACCCCTGAAGACCTGCTTCTGGTCTGGGAAACAATTATTCCTTAACCACAGGTGTCCAGCTTCTGACCAAGGTCTCAGCTGTGTCCAAGACTGAAAAGAGAATCACACGCTACACGTGGAAATCTGATCTCCACCACCTCCGGTCTTTACTGATGCTCAGTGCGTCATCAGCAAGTTGCTAGTGGGATCTCACTGGTCCGTGGTTTGCATGATAAATATGAGGTGCTTCTTTTTCTTTCTTTTTTTGTTTAAGAGAAGAAAAATCCCCAGAGATTAGGGGGTAAAAAACTGAAAAAAATGAAACAAGCGGTTGACCCTCTCACATCCATACTTAACAACACAGAAAATCACAAAATCAGCCGTAACCCAAGGGAACACACTGCCAGCAATGAGAAGTGAACCTACAAACCTGTGTGTCTCCTTTGGTGTCTTTTGAGTTGGTCTGAACGAGAAAACCTTCGCTCACAGTCCTTGAAGTCACACTGGTATGGTTTCTCACCTTGGAGGAAGACACATACTCCATTTGAAAATGACACTGGAAGTGGAGATCTCCTTAAAGGCAACCTCTCCTCTGGGGGCTGGAGGGATTCCAAAAGGCCTAAGACACTTCGGTGGAGCATGTTAGGGTGACTTTCCAACTGCAGCGTGTGGTTGAAGGCCTTACCTGCACACAGGCCTGTGGACAGCAGGCGCAGGTTGAGGGGGGGTTAGGTGAATGAGGGTGGTCCCTCCCCTCCCAGTTTGAAGTGAACGGAAACTCACGTTCTGGAGCCTGACGCGGGGGTCACATCCAGCCCTGCCACTTTAAGTGCTGGGTGAGGTACAGTTTCCTTATCGTGAAATGGAGCCAATAATCTGACAACTTCCAAGGATTTATAAACTGATTAAACCAGACCGTCCCCATACAGGGCTTAGCCTAGTACCTAGCACAGAAGCAGGGCTCAAAAATCATTGGCAGAGAATAGTTAGACAAATAATAAACCGAAGAAGATTTAACTCCTCGACTGAATCTGAGGCAGGATTCTGGGATGGATGTGCCCTGGAGCCGGTCCCATGAAGTGGGTGTTTCATATTTTATAGCCTGAAGATTTGGTACTCTCTGCTACCAACTTCTCATTCCTGAGTCAGGCATAAAAGGCTCCATGATTGTGAGACGCTCAAGTTAAACGAGGGTCAAAGCGTTCAGAAAATGTTTGCTGTCCCTCTATCAGAGAGAAGCCAGTGGTGGGATTACACAACCTCCTTCATCAGAATGAAGAAGCCCCGCCCTGGCCTCGCTTGAGAAAGTTCAGCCAAATACTGGGAACTGGGCCCCAGGAGTGCACTAAGCGACCTCGGGCCTTTCCACCTTCTCATGAGAATTCTGAGTCACCGGCATCTGGCATGGAGAGCAAGCCACCCCGGGCTCAGCAGGGTCTTTCCATCGCAGGGCAGTCCCTGGTTACCTTTCCAACTGCAGAACCTCCTCTATTTCCCTGATGAATCCGTGTTCCTGCTATGCCGGAGCTCACCACTCCTGAAATCTCTGCCTTGCACTTCGCTCACACTAAACGCCCTCAGTGGCTATCTCCACATTCCTACCCAGCAAAAAGTCTGCTGTACACTCCTCGCAAATGCCTGTTCCTCTGCGATGCCTTCCTGGAAGCTTCACGTTCGAATGAAAGCCCTTCCTTCCCTCATGACGGAACTGATTACAGAACGTCTGACGTGGCGGGCTGTGTCCAGGTCTAACTTGTTCCACGGGCTGGGAAATCCAAGGGCAGGGGCCTCTCCTTAACTTGCCACTTGTATCCAGCCCCGGGACTCATGTTCCACCTCCGCAACCTGGAGAGGACGCCACCCCTAGGTGGTCTCATTTCTTTTCCCTGCCCATCTGCTTCTGCTCCTGTGTCCCTTCCTCTGCCCAATCTTTTTTTTAATTTTTTTAAATTTAATTATTGTTCAAGTACAGTTTTCTGTCTTTTACTCCCATCCCAGCCCATCCCCCCTTTGCTCCCCACCTCCCTCCCATTTCCACCCCCCTTAGTTTTTGTCCATGAGTCCTTTATACTTGTTCCTGCCCTCTGCCCAATCTTATCAACCCTGATAGTCAGCCCAAGCCCTTCCCCTTCCAAGAAACCTTGACACCAGCTCAAACTGATACTCCGAACAATTCTTCCCAACTCCTCCAGCCTCCGGTTTAATGCATTATCATTTACTCAGTCCCTTTTCGTTTGTGTGTCTCCTGGCTCCAAAACAGACCATTCGCTCTTTGAGAAGGGGGCTTGTGACTTGGGAGTTAAAAGGCATGTGTTCAAGTCCTGCTTCCACTGTACCTACTCACCTGATCATTGCTTCATGTGTGAGGATTAAATGAAATAACACATGTAGAGAGCCTGGGACATAGAAAGCATTTAATATAAAATTACTTAATAGTCTGCACTATAATTATAAATAAATTTTTTTCAATTGCACTCTTTCAAGAGAGAGACCACAGGATTGTTACGTACCAGCCTGCCCTCCTCCTCATCTTCTGCGAGAAAGAGCTTCCTAAATGCTCCAGCAGGCCAGGTGGGCTTGGCTATCTCACCTATTGTCTTCCCTTCACACAGACATCTAACCTCTATTCTTTTCTGCGTCCCATTCCCATTGGAAGTTTTCACAACTATATTGTCTTCAATGAATGGTATTCCCTCACATTTTCTCAGAATTTTACTTTAGCCTTTCCCTTAGAACCTTATCATTTACTCTCCAAGTGATCCCGTTCAGGGAAATATGTAAAAATAAAACATGCCGCCAGATTGCTCCTCTCAGCCTGAAAGCAAATGGCCTACCGAGTGCAAAGTCGGGTTTATGCCAGAAGTGCCCCTCCAGATGCAATGGTTTAGAGAAGGTCTAATGGCCAAAGATCTGGATACAGGTCACTTTCTCCTCCATCGTCCCCAAAGCAGAGCCAGCAGTAACGGTAAAAAAACCACGGTGATCATCACAACAAAGCCATCCTTCCATTGTGAAAAGAATGGCCCTGGATGCCCTGTGGGAAAGGCTGCACTTCCCACTGTTTCCCTGTAGGGGAGACCCCACCTCACTCCCACCCAGTGCCCACTGGCCAAGGGCAAACATTTGTGAAATGGCCGATCACGTTTAAGGTGGCCAACAACTAGACATGGCAGACCCTCTTTCCCAGAGGCAGACCCCCTGGCCTGTGGGAAAATCCACATCGTCAAAATTGCTCTCTTTTTTTTTAAAGATTAAAAATAATAATTAAATATAATCCATTTTCCCATTCTCATCTGGTTGGTTACTATTAACCCAAGCAGTTAAGTTTTTCTTTGGACCATCTCTTCCTAATCTTAGGATAACCTTGCCTGACAAGCTCTCCAAATCATCTGATTGCCAAACTCTCAAACTAGCTCCTCTCTCTTTAGAGATGCTAATAGTATTCTAACAGTAACGCTATCATTTATTCAGACCTATTGACATAGGGTACTGCAGTAGGTGCAGTCATACCTCTAACTCCTTTCACTCAATTTGATATTAAATTTTAACTTAGTCTTAACAGTTGTATAAGGTAGGCATTGTCATTTCTATTTTTCACATTAAGCAAATGAAGTTCAAGGAGAGGTTAAAACTTGCTCTAGGTCTCCGCACTCAGTGATGAAACCCATATTGAAACACAAGGCTCTTTAATCCTGTGCAATTCTCTTTCCACCACTCTGCTCCATCCTCCCTGAAGTTTACTGACTTCTTTATTAGAGCTAGGACAATCTGGATGCAAAATGACCTTGCAGCCTTTTTTTTTTATCACTTATGCCAGAACTTTCAAAAAATGACTATTTTCCATGCCTGGATTCCCCTGCGTCCTTGACAGTGTGAGAACCAGCAGCCGGAGCTCCGCAGCCGCCCCTGCCCAGAGGCCGCGGGAACCCAGGCTGGGCGGTGGACACACTCACCAGTGTGCTTCCGGCTGTGCATCTGTAAGTGAGACAGCTTAAAATATCTCTTATTGCAGCCCGGGTAAGCACACATGAAGGGGCGTTTCTCACTGGTCTCAGATGCAGACCGGACAAGAGTCGGGGCTACTCCAGGCACACGCCGCACGTCCTGCAAGCAGAGTGTAAGAGAAATGGAGGCTTTAAGCCACACGTGAATATGCACGTCGGTCCAAGGGAGAGTGAGCACTGGCATACACCCAAGGAAGGAAGGATGGCAGATACGAGGCCTAAAACCAGGCGGTCCACACACCAGATGCCCACAGCAGACACCACTGATGGATGACAGATCAGGACATTCTACAATGCAGTGCTCTAACGTCATCACTACTGATCAACCAGAACCAGTACTCAAAGCCTACTGGTTTGGGGGTCGCTGATCCAGAGTATCTGGAAAAGAAATGCTAGTGGCCGGAAGAGCTCCCAGTCCATCCCGTCTCTCCACTTCTGCACTTAATGCAGTGAGGTTTGGAAGGCCAAAGTCCCGGGTTCTACCCCATTCCTCCCACTCAGACACCTGGCCACACAACCATAGCCTCACTCTGAAGTGGATGGGGAAGTCCTTATGAGAGAGACATGTAGGACACTAGATGAACCCCAAACTAGCCAGACTTTCCATGTGAGTAAAGAAGGAGCCCATGAGATTGGGGGGTTCTGTCTGTGAAGGGGAGCTGAATGCCCTAGAGGCTCCATGTAGCCAGTGCAACCCTTTAATAATAGCACCAGAAAACGCTGGGCCTGCCTTCCACGCCCTGTTCACAGCCTTCATGGGGCTTTCTGTTGACCCACTTTACCTGGTGAGCATGAGTATGTATACGGTCAGTCCTTCGTGGCAAAGAGCTAGAGGGAAAAGATGAGGCAGGCTCCCCTTTCCGCTCTCCAGATCAGTAAGTCACAGACAGGAGCAGCGCAGGTGCCTGAGGGGCGGCTGAATCCTCCCCATTCTTACAGGTGTGGAAGTCGAGGCCAAAGAGCACTTCCATGTTGTAAGTCCTGGAAATACTTCTGAACTTCACCCATTCTCTGCCCTGGGCATTTTCCACGCCACCCCCAGTTCCTCTGTTCTACTTTCTCTTTCACACTGCCTTGCACTGGGAGGCCTTCCATTCTGCAGAAAAAGGACTGCAGTGACAGGTAACTTGGATGTTGATAGGCCATAGTGTTTCAAGGCAAATGGTGATATAAACCTCAATAGTGAGCCGTTGTGTTTGATTGGTGTGCTCCAGGAGAAAAGGACTGGGCCAGAGCCAATCAGAAGCCATGAGAGTGAGGCTGACAAATGAGGTTTGGTGCAAAGGAAGGCAAAGGAACTTTTTTCATTTCCTGTAATTCATTCTAGCTGCAGCACATATGGCAATACGATACAAAATTGAGCTGTCAGTGGTCCTGATGGAGGATGCTGATGGTATTTGTCAGAGGACAGACTGGATGACTCTTTCTGTACTTCTGTCAGATTTCCCTATTTCTGCGACCCTTGCCTTTAGTCCCACCACAGGAAGGCCTGGGGTGAGGGAGCACACTGTTCTGTCACCAGGACACTTCTGGAAACATGAATCAGAACATCTCGGAGCTACCTGACCCACACACAACTGATTTCCAGGGTGCTGACTAGTCTGGGAAAGTATCGCCACTGTTACTCATGTTGCAGCCATGAGTCACATGCAAAAGTCACCGAAGCAAATACTTGGGAACTTCATGTGGTTCTCACCACCAAAAGGGGCTCAGTGGCCTTCACTGAGTTCCCCCAATTCTGTAAAAGGTTTACCTTTTTACTTCCCTTCCTTCACTCTCCTTGGAGACTCCCTCCTCCCACAAACTGCTCACAGCCCTCTGTCCCCCTATGAGGCAGTGTAACAAAATGGTTCAAATCAGAGCTTCTGGAGTAAGATGTGTTATAAGTCTCTGCTCCACCTCTTACAGAGATGTGGTTTGGGACAAGTCACTTGTCTCGTCCAGACTTCAGTTTCCTTATTTATAAAACGGAGCCAATAATAGTACCTACCTCATAAAGAAGTGCTCAGGATTAAATGGGGGGGACTCAATGTGTAGACACGGGAGAAGCTTAAATGCATACTACAAAGTGAAAGGAGCCACACAGGCTAAACACAGTGTGATTCCAACTACACAACGCTCTGGAGAGAGGCAAAATGATGCAGATGATAAAAAGATCACTGGTTGTGGGGGCAGGGGAAGAAGAGAGAGGGGAAGGGATGAGCAGGGGGAGCACAGGACATTTTCAGGCAATGAAACTGTTCCATATGATATTCTAATGGTAGGTCCATGGCATTTTGCATTTAACAAAACCCACAGAACTACACAGCACAAAAAGTGAATCCTAATGTAAACTATGGGCTTCAGTTAACAATAATGTGTCACTGTTGGCTTATCCATCTCAACAAATATGCATACCAAAGCAAGATGTTAATCATGGGGAGGTGTTGGCGGGGTGGGGGGTGATACTGGAACCCTCTTTACTTTCTGCACAATTTTTCCTTAAACCCAACCTTGCCTTAAAAAAAAAATTAGGTCTATTTTTTGTAAAGCCCATGTATAAAACTTAGCACAATGCCTGGCATATAGAAAGTGTCCAGCCATAGGCAGTGTTATTATTAATATCATAGCAACACTTGGCAAGACTGGCAAGATAGAGTCTACCTTTGGGTGCTTTACAATGCAGACCAAGTCTTCTTAGAAGTCAAAAGCAAGCCCAGTTAGCCCCAAATATAAGAGCCATGCAGCCCACCATGGAGAAGGCAAATTAAACCATGAAAACAAGGAAGGAGGGGATTCCGCAGGAAGCATCTTGGCCTGAGCCAGAGAGGCAGCCCCCTTTACACTGGCCTCCCAACAGGAGGAGGCTGTCCTACCCACCCCCATGGAAAAGGAGGGGTCTCTGCTGTCACAGGAACATACAGTTAGGAACGGACTTGCTAGTGCCAAACGGCCATCAGCATGGAAGTGAACGGGTGCTGAGAAGGGGAAGAGGCAGGGAAGTCCACTTCCAGCCGGACCCCGCATACTCACCTGAATGCCCCGGAAGACGCCGTGGGTGTGTATCCTGTACTGGGCCCCACAGAGAATGGGCGTGGTGTGGTTATCGCTCTCATACCCCGCGCCGTGGCTGCAAACACGAAGAAAAGAGAACAAGGTTCAGGCGGGTCCACAGGTACCATTTGAAAATGGGCATCTGCAGCAGCAGGGATGTTTTTAAAGGCTCACAGGAGGGCAGCTGCTTTTGGCCTCCCCCCATTGGGGCTACTCTGGAAGCAGGGTTTGGTGAAGGGCGGGGCCCATCAGTCCGGGCCTCGCCACCACGCAGCGCTCCCTCGCGCTCTGATCCTCGCAGACGCACTGCGCTGTCTGGGTCTATGCCTCTCTCAGATGAGCGGGGAAGTCACAGTGGCGGGAGGTCATCCCCAGCACGTTGTTTACCGTCTGGATGGCAGGGCTGAGAGCTGCAAATATCTCAGGAATGAGCAGATGACTCAAGTTCACATCAAATGCAATGGATGTTTGTCAGCACCTCGTGACTCAGTTTTTTACCAGATAGCACCAAGAAAGTGATGACACAAGAAGAGATATCACATCCTCAGAAGTGGTTACACATCTGTGGCCCTGTTCCACTTAACCCACAGATCAGCTTTCCAGATCAACTTAACTCTTTGCAGCCAACCCCTGCCCAAGACAGACACCGGACAATCTCCCCTAGCGTTAGACTGACTGGTTCCCGAGTCAAGTCTCAGGTTAACCTTGGACTACTAGTGAGAGCCGAGGGATATGGAATGTTGAAAATAACCACTTGGAAAGGGTGTGTGTTCTGTTTCAAAAGTATTCTCTCCTTCAGGAAAAAGCTGATATCTGTTCTGCAATTATTTTACTTCCAAATGAGGCAGAGTAAGGGTTTTTATTCCACATGGGCAGCACATTATAATCACATCTAGAATCACCATGGAGAGCTTTTATGAAATTCCTCTGTGAAATGGTGCAGCTGCTTTGGGAAGTGCCTGGCAGTTCCTCAAAAGATTAGACAAAGTTACAATATGACCCAGCAATCCCACTTGTAGGTGTGTCCCCAGGAGGAGTGAATCACGTGTTTACACAAAAACTTGTGCACTTCGTTTATGAGCAGCGCTTACTTACCCTAGCTGACAAGTGGAGTCGACATAAATGCCCGCCAGCTGATGCGGGGGGTGGCAGGGGGGTAAACAAACTATAGTATATCCATAAGGTGGAATATTATTTATCCAGAAAAAGGAATGAAATACTGATACATGATAATGTGGACAAACCTTGAAAACATTACACTAAGTGAAAGAGGTCAATCACAGAGGACCACCTACTGTGTGATACCATATATACGAAATGTCCAGAATGGGCATAATTATAGACAAGAAGTAGCTTCATGGTTGGCTGCCTGGGGCTGGGGAAGCTGGAAGGAAGTGGAGAGGGACCGCTCACAATGTTCCCAACCTGTGGTACAGTCGTGCAACTCTGATTATACTAAGACTGTTGAATCATATACTCCAAATGAGTGAACTGTGCTGCTCCATGAAACTTGTAAAGCTGCTTTTAGAAAGGCACCTCTGGGGAATGGGGTCCACACACCAGCATTTGTTTAAGCCTCCAGGTGCAATTAATGGCTGTCAGGGCTGAGAACCTCCACCCTCTGGCTGTGACTCCAGAGATTCCAGGGCTCCGGGTGCAGGAGCAGGTAGCTGGGCCGATGAGCCCACTCCACCTGAAGCCGTGGGGAAAGCCTGGGGCTGGCTCAACTGCCACTCACCCAGGGGAAGGCATTCCTGGGAGCAAAGAGTATCTGCCAGGACGACTGGCAGGTCCGCACACCCTGTGGCCCCAGCAGCTGTAGGGTTTCACATTCATTCTGACTTCGAGCTTTTGAGAAAGGACTGACTGTCTCCTTTGCACAGAGCAACGACAGAAGCCTCGGAAGGCGGGTGGCAGCTTGCGCCCCCTGATCTACTGCACACACCTTGTTTGCACATCTTTCAGGTGATTTTTGACATATCTGAAGGGAAACGTCTGAAAGAGCTGAACCAGGGTCAAACACACAAAAACTGGAAAGACATGCCAAACCCAGATAGTATCTGCCTTTCTGAAGCTTGGAATGTGCTTGCCAAGAAAAAGAGGCTGTGTCTGCGTTCCTTACGATTACACAGACAGTTGGGGAAGTGAGAGCTGATGACAATGGCGATGGGGCAGCAGCAGGACAGGACAAGAATGCCACGGCCAGAAGATTTTGCCTCCAAGGCTGTGAAGAGATGCTGCCTTTGCTTTGTTTAGCCTTCCGCATGCGGCCAAAGCGTGACTTACAGATTTTCCAGGGCTGGAGGGTCTCTAGGATACAGCAAAAGAAATATCTTAAAGTTCTGTCATCAAAGGGAAAGAGTAAGGAATATCCTGTCTTGGCAGCTGGTCTCTGGATGCTTCTGGGTTTCTAGAGGGTGGAGGGGCATGGGAAATAGACATTACTCAGGATACTCGTCCCGGGAAATGAAGCGTTGTGACACTCAAAAGTAATGACATGATCCTCCCAGCCAAATGCAAGCCAACAAACAAAAGAAGCAACCAGCAACAAGACTGCATCTGCCAAATATGCCACTAGACTCTTCTACCAGGTTCATGAATTAAAAAGACAACTGGGCCCTGCCTACCGACTCTTGGGTCTACAGAGGACAAACACACAATGCAGTTCCACACTGTGGAAACCCTGCAAACCCAATACTCTTCCCTGTGTGGTCTGCACAGGACACCAAGTACCACCCGTGGGCTCAGTGACGACTCTCCCCTGATAAGGAAAGGAAAGCAAGTCTGTGGTCTTGGAACCATACATGGATAAAGGTGAAAAGGTCATCTACTCCAATCGCCACTCAAAGCTCCTCTAGCTCATCACCAACAGTTGAACAATATGACTGGTCACGGGTTGTCGAGGCAGCCCAGTCTGCTCAGGGAAAGTTTCTGTTATTAGGAGAAGCCTTTCTCAACCAGGCTGAAATCAGCCTCCTTGCTTCTGTCTTTTGAAGAACCACAGAATGAGTATTACTATTTTACAGCCATCTCTGTGTTATCTCTTCTGCTCTATGGTAAACTTGGCCTTGAGGACAGAGACCAACTTGCTCCTTTATGTATCCTCTCAATTTAGTGACTGAAGGAAAGCTGCATAGTCCATAAATGTCCCATGAGATGGGCTGAATCTAACTCCTCTTCCACATGACAATCCTTTAGGTATTTGAAGACAGCTCTCCAGGCTACAGAACTGTGGTTGTCTCTACTATTACAACAAGAACTGGTATCTAAAGTCCTTTACCAGCTGGATCCTCTTCTTGATCCCCTTCTTTTATTAAGTGCCTCTCAGAGTGTGGGCTTGGGATGGGTCCCTGGGCCCCAGAAGATTGCATCCATAAAGGAGTGGGGAGAGAGTACCATCCAGAACACAGAAGCCTTTAGAATCAGGGAAGTGACTACCGAGACTGGAGAGCACATGCCTCACCCGAAGGGGTTCCATTCCAAATTCTTCAAAATCAGTGTGTTAGTCAAACACAACACAGTGCATTAGGCCCACAGGCTGCCAGGGCTCATTCCCTGGGCTAAGGGCCTGGGGCTTCCCCACCTCCATCTGGACAAAGTTATCGCCATTTACACTCCTAAGAGCACATCATTTCTTAGCACTGAGGTCACAGTGGTCTTCGCCAGTCAAATAAGATCTCCAACTACAACCCCCACCCCAGAATAAAGTACAGTCAAGGCAGTTACCTCCCACCTTGAGCCCAAAGACAGAATTTTTTTAAAGGTTTTATTTATTTATTTTTAGAGAGGGGAAGGGAGAAAAAGAGGGAGAGAAACATCAATATGAGAGAGGAACAATCAATCATGCTGCCTCTCGCACACACCCTGACCAGGGACTGAACCTACAATCCACGCTTATGCCCTGACCAGGAATCAAAGCTGTGACCTTTTGCTTTGCAGGATGACACCCAACCAACTGAGCCACAGTGGTCAGGGCAAGACATGATTTTTTTTAAGCTGCAATTCAGGACTATACATAGAAATTCCATTCTATTTCTTTTAGCAAGTCATTCTCACCTGTTGAAATCTTCTTGACTCTTGATTTGGCTTCCAAACATTTGCTTTTGTTCCTGTTTCATGTTACCTCTACATTTGAAAAGCAGATTTTCTGTGTTTTCCTAAAAGGAAAGGAGGCTCTCTGCTTTCTTGAGAGCTATTGCATTTACAGTATCCATAAATATTCTCTGGTATTCATGAAGCAATAGGATTCTGAACAGTTTCTCCAGGGGCAACTGGAGGAAAGACATCATAAAGAACCTGGTCATTTGCATGGGGTCCAGTCCAACAGGGCATAAGCCATCAGCAGGAGTTAAGCTGAGACAGAGAGGCTCAGGCAGATGGTGGCTGCCATTGGAATAACAGCCACTGGTAAGACCCAGCTGCTAGCTTAGATGGGCAAGTGAAGCCAAGCTTTACCCCTGGAGAGACCAGCCTTAAAAACTGCTACTTACGGCGGATGAATCAAATAAGAGCAAGGGTAGGATTTCTAGAGGTCTGGAGCCATAAGGCCCTCCAAGAAGGGCAAGGAGCTACCAGCTTAATGAAGAGATTCTGAACCCAAACACGCACCTTACAAATAAAGGAATCACAGACCCCTGGGCAGTTGTGGGGTAAAAATTCATCTTAACTCAGAGATGAGGGTGTTACCATTCACAGAGCTGACACCAGAAAGAAGGTTCTAGAGCAGAGTGTGAATCCCACTGACCAAGCAACTAAGAGACCCCAATCTCCCTTCAGGTACAAATGCACATATTGACTTGATCCACCTTTAAACCCAGACAATGGGAGAGCAAGTAAAGGAGCCCCAGCACAGCAAGGCATGTGATCCCAACCTGAGTAAGGCTGGGCTTCCTTAGGAAAAGAAATTGGCGCTTTATCAAATGTTTTCATGGTTTTCCATTTTGTTGCCTAGTACACTTCTCTTGGACAGATAAGACACTCGACCAGTGGAATGACGGGAAGAGGGATTTGATGAGACTTGGCCAAGATCATCAGCAGGGAGGTCACGGGGATTCACGGTGAGAGGGAACAGGGGCA